CAGCTGCTGTTTAATTGGAGGGATGGCTGCAATATTTGCAGATGGGAAAAGGAAGGATTTTTTTATCTCTGCTGGGGCTGAATCTCCTTTTCCAACACTCTGGAAGGCACGTGGTGCCAGCAGTGGCACAGGCCCGACAGGCAGAGCTGTAGCCGGGGAATGAGGCACATCCCAAACGCTGATGCTCCACCAGGGACACCCACTGCTCTTCCCAGAGAGTGCAGGACCCCGGGGGAAAACGATCCTTGTCTTTCTGTGAATTTAGAGCCAACTGTCCCAGGGCAAAGTGTCTCCTGCAGAGGTTGTGCCACAGCCGGAGGTCCCTGCGCTGTGCCCAGAGCCCAGTGGAACCCCAGGATCCCTCCAGGGAGCTGATGGGCACAGGGGACACCAGGGGGCCTCCAGGGCACCGGGAGGTTTCATCCCTTTTATTTTCTGAATCAAAATGACATTGAAGACAGAGATCTGTGCAAGGGCGACAGTGCCCTCTGTTGTCACCAGCACCTTCCTTGTGCTGAGGACTCCGAGCAAAAGGTGTGCCCTCACAGCCTTTCCTTTTCCCTTTCCTTTTTCCTTTTCCCTTTCCCTTTTCCTCTTTTCTTTTCCTTTTCCCTTTCCCTTTCCCCTCCTTGTTACACAGTGATGGCAACCCCCAAAATTCACCCTAATTCCAGGAGCAGCTGAATCTCCTCAGGTGCCAATTAAACAGGTGATGCAGCAGCAGCTGCATTTCATCAGCACCTGCTTTGTGTCAAGACTGAAGTCACACGAATGGCCTTAAAAATGAACATTTGAGTGTAACAACAAAATGAGGTGCAAAATGAATTGAATTGAGTGACTTTAACCCTGTGGATGCTGCAGGGCCGGGTCCCCTCAGGGGCTCTCTGGGTCCCAGGGCAAACGTGGCGGGGGCAATACAGAGCCTCCCCTTGGTTTCCACCACTTGCTGGGCTGAGATCCCGCTGGAATCCTCCTGGATTTCCAAAACAAGCAGGAAAATGTGTTATTGTGGGCATGCACCAGTCAGAAAAGCAGAGTCCCAGGCCCAGGAGTTGCAGTGAGGGGGGGACCAGTGTCTTCTGCTGTGTCTACAGTGAGGACTAGAAGAAATGGCCTAAAGATCAGAGAAGATTCAGATGTTAGAAGAATTCTTTGCACTGTTTGGGTGCTCAGGAATTGGAAGGGTATGCCCAGAGAGGTGGTGGAGTCCCCATCCCTGGAGGTGCTTAAGAAGCGTCTGGATCGGGCACTGGACGATGTGGTTTAGGGTTTTAGGGGTTACAGCGACACTGGTACACTGACAGTTGGGTTTGTTAGTCTTAAAGGTCTCTTTCAACCTTGACTATTCTATGATTCCATGGGAAATCCATGATTCCACGAGGCCCGCCCGCC